GGGACATCCTTTAACCATGCCGCTGTATTTAATGGGACCTGAGCATCCATGGATTTGGGTATCCACAGGAGGTCCTGGAACCAAACCTCAGCATATATCAAGGGACCACCATGCATCTTCTGTTTCTAGATTGGCCAGAAGGGAGCAAAAGGTGGTGAAAATCCTACCCAACTTTAAAGGGCATTGGGGGTGTCTTGTGTCCCCCCCACAATTGATCTGACCTTGGGAGGTCCATCCTGATCTCTTTGGGGAGAGCATCAACCAACCCTACCTTGAGCAAAGGAAAGAGAAGACAGTGACGAATGAAGCCACGGCTGAAATTATGCAACCAATGTAAGTGATGAGGGTCAGGTACTTGTGGTGGACGTGGTCAATCTCTGGAGAGGATACCTTAAGAGGGGAGGAAATGAGGATTTAAAAAACCAAACAGAGGAGGACAGGCAGGTCTTTCAGGGCTTCTATGGGAGGTTAGCACTCACCATCAGCACTGCAAAGAAGGTGAGGTGGTCACAGAGGCAGGTGGTCTTCGCTTCTCCCCGTATTGCTTCACAGCCCAATGTGCTCCAGTTCCCGGAGCGGCCAGCTAGCGGCACAAGAAAATATCTTACTGTGATTATTTTGTGCTGTCACACTGCCCAATTAATGCAGTTCGACACCACTTTAACTGTCGTGGCTCCATCCTATGCAATTCTGGGGTTCATTCAGCCATAAAACCCACTGGGTGCACCTTGGGCAAGTCACACTCTCTTAACCTCAGAAGACCAAGGTAAAACCCATATGAACAAATCTTACTAAGGAAACCCCATAATAGTTCATCTTAGGGTTTCCCTAAGTCAGAAAAGACTTGAAGGCACACAACAACAACAACAAAGAACATGGCTATTTCTGGGGTCACTATGGGAACAGATTTCAAGACTAAATCAGACTGCTGAGGCAGCATGGTTCATCTTATGTTCTTACATCTGTAGCTCACATATATTCGTTCCCAAACTAAGTGCTACACATTATTTTGTCCTATAATAATAATAATAATAATAATAATAATAATAATAATAATAATAATTTATTTATACCCCACCTTTAGCCAAGGCTATCAAGGCAGCTTACAATTAAAAGCAATCATAAAACCCAAACAGTACAGCAACATATAACCCCCCTTAAAATAAATTAAATTAAATCAACATTAAAATCTGATTAAAAACAATAAGTTATTAATAATAATAATTTATTGTAGCTATTATATATTAATAATATATAGATATTAATAATGATAACTTATTATAGGTATTATATATTAATAATATATAGCTATAACAATAATAACTTATTGTAGCTATTATAATGAGGCACGCCAGGATTTGATTATTCCATTATTGAGAAAAATTGTTGGATATTCTGACCAATTTCATATCAGGCTCCTGTTGGAGGATAAGTCCCCAAATATAACATTGGCTATTGCTAAATTTCTTTCAGAGACAAGAGGATTAGAGCTCAATGGTGGCTCCCAGCCTCACCTTTCTGCAAATCATTTTGCTGCATCCTTGATGGTGGCATAACTGGAGCATTCAATCCTTACTGCAGGATTATCTGTGATACCAATATTTTATATTTCATCTTGCTTTTAACTCTGCATTTAACGTAGTATTTTAATGAATTACATTAAACACAGAGGAGCTGCTTACTAAGGAGAACTGTGACTCATGCAGAGAAATGGACTGATTCTTATCTACCAGAAAGCTTGCAATCGAGGCAGCATAAAACTTCAGATTTTAAGAGGAATGAGGAGGAAAGGGAGAAGCATATTTCAACTGCCAGATACCTGAAAAGCTCTGACTTGCATATTTAGTATGCCGTCTTCATCATTATGGGGGCAAAGGAGAGTATTTTACACCCACTTTTGCATACTGTCAATGAGCAAATAATCCAGGCGATAATGGAAGAAAGAGAGTATTGTGCCAAATATGTACTTTTACCCCAGGTTGCTCAGTTACTTACCTTCCACATCCCAGAACACACACTGAGGGGTTACATTCCTCTGAAAGATAAAATTATTATTATTATTATTATTATTATTATTATTATTATTATTATTATTATTATGTATCCTACTCTTTTCCCAAAACTGGGACTCAAGTCTACCCTTTGGTGAGCAAATGCATCTGAGGAAGTAGACTGAAGTCTATGAAAGCTCATGCTGCCAATTTCTTTCTTTCAGCGAGTCTCAAAGGTGCTACAAGATCTCTCTACATATTGGGCATGAGAGTAGATGGGTACAACCCACAGCCCTCTACCCATCACTTGGACTGGGAAAAGAGTCTCCGAAATCTGTCCTTGGCTCCGCAAACACCAGGTGCCAGGAGGCATTCGTTCATACAAGGAAACAGCTCTTCTTTAAGGAGAATTGAGCCATTCACCGATTGTGTATCCACACATTCCACAACCATCCAAGTGCATGAAGGGTTTGGACCTACCGGAAGAGGTTTGTGCAAGAAAGTGATCGCCACGCGCTCCTCCTTGGGCAGGTCTCGAACTGGAGCGCTCCCCATGGAGATCCCAATCACCTTTCCACCAAGGATTTGCTCAGCATCTTGGCCCTGCATGAAGTAAAGGTGGGGACATTTCAGACCAATGTTTCTCCCCAGCCATCCATCCACTCACCTTTTTCTTTAAACAGATAAAATTAAGAGTGGGCCTTTAGTATCTGTTGGGGTTTGATTCCAGGACATGCTGTGGGTACCAAAATCCATGGATGTCCAAGTCCCACGAAATACAAAGGCATAGTAAAATTGTATCCCTATAATAATAATAAAATTTATTTATATCCCGCCCTTTGGATACATGTGAATACATGTGAATAAGCCTTGCCCACGTGGCTCTTCATTTTCCTATTATCTCTTTGAAACCTCAATAGTACGTTCTTACATCTGTAGCTCACATATAGGGGGAGGGATTGTGTTTTGGGATATATTGTATGGTTTTATTGTTGTAAGCCGCCCTGATTGGGTCCCCAAAGGGCGGGATATAAATATATTATTATTATTATTATTATTATTATTATTATTATTATTATTATTATTACTACTTGCCAGAACATCCCTCTGGGTGGACCTGATCTCTTCAGCTTTGCAACCCATCACCAGAATATAAAACCATCAGGGCACAAGAGTCATCCAGTGCAAAAACACACCCTGCAATTTGAGGCATTTTTCTTCTGAGAGAAGCAGAACTGGGGGATTCATGTCAAGACCTGAGCTTGCTGGAAAATGCATCTCATGTTTCTGCAATGATGGAATTCGGCTCCGGTTTAGTAGAGATTTTCTGTTTATACCCTTAAGCAGGGAGCTGAGCTGAACAGGCAGGTGGTGCACAAAACAGTCTTCAGTAAATTAATGCATCATCAACAGGACAAATCTGGTCCCATTGCAATGCCTGCGCTCCATCTTAGTCAGTGCATTATTATTATTATTATTGTTATTATTATTATTGGTATATATTTTGTAATGGACACCTGCATCATCAAACTGGAGAAAGAGCAAATACCAAAATATATCTGATTTATTTGGAAACATGGAGTAAAACGCATCCACGTTTCCCCTCTTTTTGAATGTATGTTATCTTGGTTTTGGTTGAAAATTAGATTGCCAATGTTAGGAGCTGCATATGCACCTCGCCTGTCATAAAATATTGTTAATTATTTATTTATTAATTATAAAGAATGAGGATTAAGCACGCCATAAATTTGAAATTGCGCACAGTTTAATTATGTAGTTAATGTTTGCTGTTCAGTTCTGACAATGAATGTCTCTGGATGGGATCAATAGTTACTTAATAAAGGATTTCTCTAATGCAATCGTATGAACATGATGGAGACCAGGAACTGAGAGTAAAATATTAATAGCATAGCAATCTCATCTAGAGCGATGAACTTGTTTGGAAGTTTATATGGAGAGAAAATTCATTTGTTATGATTTCAATACATATGATTAACCGTATTGTAAAAAAAATTAAGTGTACAACACAAGTAAAAATATTGCCAAAAATAAATAAATAAAAGGTTTCTGAATTTTAACTATTGAAGCCTGGATTTTTGAACTTGGTATCCTGCTGGACTTTGGGATTTTTTTTAAAGTTTTTTTTTCCTTTATTAAAATTAAAACCCTCCTCTGATTACCAGTCTATAAGTAAACAAACAAAATGGTTCGGAATAACTAAAGAAAATATAAAATGTGATATTAGTCAGCACCAATTAGATCAAGATGAGATTATTAAAGCTATTTCTTTCTCATGCTTCTTATGAGTATTACTATTAGAAACTCCGCAACCATTATCCAAAACCAGGAGATGTAATACTCAGAAGTTGACAGTCAATGATAAATGGATAAATAAATGGAACAAAAGAAAAAGCATTACTTGGAAGAGAATCTGGCTCTTGGCAGCCAATTGCACCACTTTCCTCTTGCCATTCCTGCGTCCAAACTTGGGTCTCTGAAAGACGTATTTCGGTAGAGTCACTTCAAATCCACGGACCTCTTCATCATCCTGCAAAAGGGAAAACAAGACTCTGCAGTCCAAGACTAGAAGTGGAAGGAAATTTCTTTCGTTATGGGATAGGATTGCCAGTTTAAAAATGGGGCAGGGTTCTGTAGTTTTGAAAGTTTGCACACGCTGGATTAGGAAGGATGTAACATTTCATCGGGTAGAACTATTGCACCTTTCCTCCCCAAACCAAGCTTTGAGATAATAATAGTTGTTGTAGCATTTATTTATATCCTGATTCCATCCCAAAAGAAGGGACACAACAATAAAGAATCATGATCTAGTTCTGCGTGACAGTACTTTACATTTGTTGTTGTGTGCCTTCAAGTCATTTCTGACTCTTGGTGATGCTAAGGCACATATCCTGGGGTTTTCATGGCAAGGTTTGTTCAGAGGAGGTTTGCCGTTGCCTTCCCCTGAGGCTGAGAGAGTGTGACTTGCCCAAGGTCACCTAGTGGGTTTCATGACTGAGCTGGGAATCAAACCCTGGTTTACAGAGTCGTAGTCCAGCACTCAAACCACTATGCCACACCGCCTCTCATGTACTTTATAGTACATCTTCCTTATCCAGGTATGCTGGTCTATGACTTTTGCTGGTCTGTTTCTGTAATAAGAGCTCTTTCATGCTCTTTATCCAGAATCTGCTAGCTATTAAAACAGCAGGATCCCTATTCCATGATCAG